ATGCAAATGAGGCAAGGCTTGGATGGGAGGTAGTGTCATTTATTAGATCCAACTGACAGAAAATAAGTAGCTAGGCTTACTGTACAAACATTTTTGTTCTAATCTCTTCTGTTCAATAGAGTGTTTCTGCATCTTATTTTTTCCTCAGTTCTCTTACTTTGGATATATTTGATATTCAGACTCTCTACTATATGCATTAAAAATATACTGCTGTAATTCAAAGTGGTCTAGCATAAAAACAGACTAATCCCTCTTTTCATTTCTGTGAGATGAGGATCCCTCTAATTTTTATTTCCTTGCCAAATTCTTCAGGTCACATCTGACATTTCTCCCTGTTGTCTAAAGTTAGAGAGAACTGTAATGAAAATGAGTTGCCTTCTAAGATGGACTGCCTTTTGTGCTTATTCCTTGCATTTTTATAAACTAAGGATATATAAAAATTCACAGAATCACAGAATAATCAGAGTTGGAAGGGACCCTTGAGGATCATCTAGTCCAACTCCTGGCCCTGCACAGGACATCCCTGATAATCACACCATGTGCCTGAGAGCATTGACCAAATGCTTATTGAACTCTGTCAGTCTAGGTGCTGTGACAGCTTCCCTGGGGAGCTGTTCCAGTGCCCAACCACCCTCTGGGGGAAGAACCATTTTCTAATATCCAGCCTAAACCTCTTTCCCATGCAAATAGCTTTTCAGTGGAAGGGCTAATTCATTCTCACAGCTAAAAATCATCATTGCTGTGAGGAAGTTGTACACAGCAGTGAGGTCTCCCCTCAGTCTCCCCCAGGCTGAACAGACCAAGTGACCACAGCCACTCATCATATGGCTTCTCCTCAAGGTCCTTCACCATCTTCATTGTCCTGCTTTGGATGCTCTCTGGTAGCTTTATGTCTTTCTTATATTGTGGTGCCCAAAACTGCACATAGTATTCAACATGAGGCTGGACCAGCAGAGAGTAGAGTGGGACAATCATCTCCCTCAGCCAGCTGGCAATGCTTTGCCTGATGCACCCCAGGACACGGTTGTCCCTCCTGGCTGCCAGGACACACTTGGCTCATACTCAGCTTGCTGTCGACAAGGACCTCCAGGTCCCTTTCTACTTTCCAGCACTACTTTCCAGCATCTCATTCCCCAGTCTGTACATTACCTTTCCAGTCGTTTGGAGGATTTAGCTAAACTACTTCTATTCATTCACCATCTTGTGACAATTTTATTGAAATCTTACTATATTTTCTGGCTATTTCAATTGAATAATTTAATAATTATCCTAGGTGTAAGCAAGAGTGGTTCATGGAGTAGTCTGGGCATCTTCCAGAAGTTCTCAGTGAGGCATACTTTTTCTATGGAGTGCTGACTTGTTCACTCAAGTTTATCAATGTGGTTGCATAATCCACCTCATTCAATTCACAATGATGATGCTCAAAAGAGCAAGGAAGGAATAATGAGAATCCTGTTCCTGCACTGTCATTGCTCTTCTATTGTGTTCTACCTGTTCTCATGCCTACATTGTGTTGCTCACCTCTCTTTAGTTTCAAAAATACCAGACATTTCCAAGTGATCCCATCCAATCTTGCTATGGCTTACCTGACTACCACCTTCACCAGTATTAATACTTTCCACCATGCCATTCAACTGTTTTCTCACTGATGATTTCCTTTTTAATCCACCACAGTAATTTACCTTGGGTTCCTGCACACTAACAGCAGATGAAGAGATTACACAAGCTCTTCTCAAATGATTCACCAGTTTTGTAAATCCTACATGAGAAGGATTTCTCTATTGTTTAGACTGACCTTTACTTTGTAATGACCTTAATATTTTTTATGTGTGTTCTTTTTCTCTGCATCCTACGTTTTGTTCTTTACAGCTTTTATTACTCCTTTGGTTTCAGGAGGAGTGTTTGCGTCATCTCAGATTTTTCTAGGCATAACTAAACATCCCTTTTTTTGGTCCACCTTTGCTAATTTCTCCTCTTTGTTTCTCAGCTGAGCAGACTTAACTGGTTTTCTGTGATTCCTTAACTGAACTTCTCTGTAATCCAGGTCTTCAGCTGATTGTCCTGTGGCAACCAGTATTAAAGTGACTAAAAATGGGCAATTTTCCTCTTTTGGATGCATAGGTATTTTAGTTTC